ATTTTCTCATTTCTTCAAGACAGTTACCAATTGAACAAAATTTAATTAAGCTACACATGTATTCTGTTGATTTAATAAACATACTGTAAAACACTAATTATTCGCGAGAAATTTATTTTCGCTAATATTCGCGAGTTTTCTAAGACGCGAATTCATATTTCTCGCGAATATTTCACTTTGTCTATACACTTGTCCGAAAATGAACACTATCCGAAAATGCGTACACATGGATATATATCTGCGGGAAAGTATCGAAACCAGTTCTAGTTACATCATGTAGCTATTCAAGTGTTGCAGCATACACATATCGTACAGATTACTAGTATGAAAAAAAACAACAGAAAATACGATTTTCAGAATAACTGTTTCGGTATTTGGTACAAATAATTTAGCACCTGCGAGTTGTTTGTAACATATCTATTTATTGTATCTTATTGTATTGTACTACAGTTTAAGCCGGAGGGTAAACATAATCGTTTACTACAGGTTAGGCAAATTACAGTACCGTTTAATTGATTTTCGTCTGCTTGCCTTTGAATGGCTAATCAGTAATACATGACAAACACAGTGAACACATATCAAATAATTATCAAACTTTATTGACACATTTTTAGACAGACGGTTTCACTTAACAAGAATATAAGCAAGCTATCAGAAAAATCGATACAGTTATAAATGCACTCGTCGCACAATAAACGATGCAAATTTAGTGAACGGACAGGACAGAAAATATCTGAATGACCTCTGGGTTCCGGTTTCACATTTTTCGGGAAGACGCGAATTCATGTTGACGCGAAATAATTATTTTGGACATTTTGCCTCAAATTCGCGAAATAAGGTTCTCGCGAAAAATAAGTGTTTTACAGTATGTTTCAGCTCAAATTTTCTAAATACATGTAGGTGATTACTTTTCATCATTAATTTTACAACGATCTTTCACAGAGTAAAAGATTTTGAAACAATGATTAAAACAAGCAGGTATTGTTATAACTGATATATATTTTTTCTCACCACTTCTAGTTTCTTCTTGATATCTTCATAGATTCTTCTCAAGTGAGTAGCTTCATCAATTTTCAGCTTGGTTTTGTCATAACTGTTCTCAAGGTATCTCATTTGCTAAATTACAAAACAAAAACATAAAAATAGTTACACTTTATAGGTTTTTCACTACAATAACACAATAAACTCAAAGAATACATGTAATTAATACAATATTGAATTTTGAAAGTAATCATCAAAATGACAAAGTTACATGTAAGTTGTAAATATTACAGTTATATATTTTAGTATTGATAAATTAATTTAATGTTTACCAAGCTAAATACCAACCATGATCAGACAGCAAAGTCTGCTGGTTTTTGTCTGCACTGAATACACAATTAGAATCTGTTGAAGTCAGTAGACTAAAAGTTAACTAAAAAAGAATTATTTTCACATGATGTGTTACCTGAGCATCGGCTGATTGACCTTTGTCTGTGTTAACAGCTTCACTAGCATCTTTCTGCATCTGACCATACTGTGTCTGCAAGTCTTCGAGTCGTTTCTGTTTTGTTGCAGTCTGGTGACGAAGAGCGTTCAATCTTTTCACAGTATCACAAACTTTGTGATCCATTACAGTGATAGCTTGCTGAAAGATTTATAAATAGTTGTAGTGTTTCATTTTGTATCTATCTAGATCTGTTTTTTATAATTTTCTCCCTTCTCTGTTCTTGAAGTAATAGAGGATCTAAAGATGATCAAAATACTTGAGATAGTAACTTTTACAAGTTTTTAGGAAATGCAACAAAATACCATTATAAATAAGTATACTCTGACAATAACAATTTAGCAAATTTATAAGCGGTTATGACTTTCTATGAAAAAACAACAACAAACTGATAAAACTTTACCCTGCCAGTTTTATTCTTCATGGCGGCTCTTTCAACTGGATGATCCTGAAAAGCTTTGTTGATAACATGTTCATCTTGCTGAAAAAATATAAGATATTCTGCTTATTTAAACATTTTGCACTAAAAGTCAAATAGCCTTAACTAAGATGTTTCTTTACATAATTCTGACAAAATAAAAGATACTTTCACATGAATATTCCTTATCATCTTTTAGATACACATAGATGTCAACTATCTCTTAAATATTCATCAGTATTAAGGCTCCCACATTCATAATTTTTTGTAAATGTTTACACAATTGCTAAAAACCGAAACCATATGATTGAAACGGTAGCGCTTCTATATACTATACTCTATTTTTAATACAGGTACAAATAAGGGGGCATTGTGAACAGCCTGTTACTTACAGAGAGTGAGTCACTCAGCTTTTTCCTTAGTTCTTTGTTTTCTTTCCTCAGTTTAAGAATACCCTCTCTGTTCTTTTTCATAGCAAACTGGGAGGTTTCGAAGTAGGCCTTCCTGTCGCCATCTAAAAATTAAACATCATAGTCAGAAAATATGACATTAAAGGCAACTTCAAAATGATCATTGAATATAAAATGCGATAACAGTCTGCGATAAACTTTTTTAGATCATGGGCTATTTGGGCCTTCAACCCTGGCAGAAGTATAGGCCTGGACAGAATATCACTGGCCCAAAACATTTATTGTGCAAAAAAAAAAGAAACAACAGTTAATTTTATGCTTTATTCACATCATTAAGGTTCAATCTATTCTTGGAAAATCAGTCAGTCACCTTTCAATAAAATTCTCATTTTCTTTTCTTATATGATACACAACATTACTCGTCAATCTACTGCTTTCCACTTTATTAGTTTAAGATATGAAAAAAATATCAACAAAGGAAGCATTTGACTCAATGAACATATCCATTAACTAAACACAACCAATCACATATTTCACTTCAGATTTAAACTAGCCGATTCATGTCTAAATGGATTAATCTAAAAAAAAATTATTCTTAAACAGAAAATTTTTTAACCCACAAACACTTCTGATTATACTCGAACATTGTCCGTATAATAATTTACACTAACCAATAGCTGTAGATGATAATATAGATTATGCATCAATGATTGAATTACGGACATTTCGGACCACAGACGTTTCGGACCAGACACTTCGGACCAGATTTTTAGGTCATTTCGGACCAGATTTTGTGACATATCGGACCATGAGATGGTCATTTCCGACCATGATGGGGGACATTTCGGACCAGAAATTTTTATTCAATAGACCTTATAGTCCCTTTTTTATATATATTTGTTATTTTAGGGTGTTATTACAATATTTTCTTATGATAAATGCAACAAATATTTGACATTTTAAAATTTTATGACATTCAAAATGCATGCAGAAAAGACCGGTCTGACGAGATTTTCACATTTCCTGACAAGCTTATAGATATTTATGCGAATGCCCTTCATACAGAATATAGATAATGATACGCTATGTTTAACTTATTTAAAAGAATTGAAATTGATTTATATACCTGTTTAATCAACTATATGATAAGGTGCACAATAAGTACCCACACACGCTGAATATACCTATTTAAAGACAATTTTAATCAAATTAAATCGTGTTCTGGCAGGTATTAAAGAACTACGACATCCTTGTCAATGCAGTTTTTCACACGTTTTAATTGCTCAATAGAACTCGTTTAAGTCAAGTTTCACTCAATTAAAGAAGAATGTATGTAATTATATTAATCTGAATTATTTGTATCTTATTTTACATTTAAATATTTTTGTCCCTGTGTTTTGTTAGATCCATAAGGGTCAATAATTATCTAAATGTATACATTCATTTGTATGTATGTGTTTGTAAGATAATGTATGATTTGTGATATTAGAATATGTTGTAAATAATTTATTTTGTCATGTCTTTTTACATATACTTTATAATATTTGTTTTCAAAAAGTGTGCCACAAAAACATTTTCTTTTTAATTTTCTTTATTTATAGTGCAACAGATATAAAATCTAAATCTGGATAGGTGTAAAATTGTTCAATGGTGCCTCATATATACTAAAGTTACTCTTCAGTTTATAGAATAATTGATGCATAATATATCAAAAAATAATATTTAATCTGGTCCGAAATGTCCAAAACAATGGTCCAAAGTGTCTAACACATGATCCCAAAAGTCCAACACATGGTCCGAAATGTCCAAAACGATGGTCCGAAGTGTCTTACGCATGATCCGAAATGTCCAGCACATGGTCCAAAATGTCCAAAAATCTGGTCCGAAATGTCCCTAAATATGGTCCGAAGTGTCCCAAAATCTGGCCCGAAATGTCTATGGTCCGAAATGTCCTATTACCCAATGATTGACATACATGTACATGCATTATAAAAATTTTATTGGAAGTACATATACTGATGAAGTACTACACAATTATTTCAGACTGCGATAATATAGATTCCACTCATCAATAAATGCTTAGTCTGAAGGAGCATTTACTACCTTTAACTTGTTTCATGCCTGACAAAAAACTATAAGAAATGTTTTGCCTGAGAATGAGATGCCTGAAATTTGGAATTTTGCAACAGTCTGAACAGACTTAATTAATTTTTAATAAGCAACAGACTTTTTTAAACTGCAATTATAGTTGACTTTACACTAAAAATTACATAAAGTGTGTATGTGACAGTCAATAATAAGCAAACATGCCTATTTCTGTATGTAGTTTATCTTCCTGTATCTACTAAAATAGATCATTAGATGTGATCACTCTTTATTTTTTCAAAATTTTTTAACAAAAATGTTAATTTTTAGCATACTCACCTAAGAGGGCGATCTTTGCCTTGAGCTCATCAATATGTTCCTGAATCGGTCGATTCATAACTGTGCCACCTGCAGGCATCTTGACTTTCCTAAATTACAAAAACTCCACACAAAATACTGTTGCTTATGGCTCCAAATCCTGTGCTAGTTGTTTGTTCGTTTCCAAGGTGCGTGGCAGCTGCGCATGCGTTATTCAAATTTTTTTTCAAGGGACGTAACTCGTGCATCTTCCGCAAATAGTACTTTAAGGAGGATTCGCGCAAAGTTCTTAAAAATATTATACCAGCTGAAAAATAATATAAACTAATTTTGGATTTCTTAACATAGCAGTTTCAAAAATATCTTCATTCTTGATTGTTTAATGGTCGTGTTCGTGCTAAATTAGTAGAAAAATATGTACTAATTTATGTAAAATTTGGGGTGTTGTTCGGTCACTTCCGGGTTGAAATGCACAAAAATTGACAGATTGTCAGCATGAAGATGGTGGCTGTTACTTTGATTTTGAATTAACTATTGTAACAACAAAGGCTGGAAAACAAGGTTGCGTACAGTAAAATGGCAATTCTTTACTTATTAAAGTGAGACACTCACAATTGTTGCCATTTGTTTCAAAAACAATGTTTTGTCTTTTTGAAGCTTTTCTACATTCATCATTCATTTTCAAATTTCATACCTCTCTAAACGGTAGCAAGACACCTCACCACCCAGACACTTCACCCCTCAAATTTTGAAGACACTTCACCCCTTAAGACACTTCACCCCCCCCCCCAAATCAGTAAGACACTTCACCCCTCATCCATTTTTTTTCTATAAAGTAAATAAAACAAGTTGGTCAACAACAAAATGCTTATATATGTTTATTATATATTTATTATTTTTAGTATTATTTGATTATTACCTTTATTTTTACTAAGTTTAAAGCTGATTTAGGTTAATTGGTTGTATTGCCAAATGATATATCGTGCAGCACTTTCATCCATTAAGTGTTAATTGCATGTCACCTTGTTTATTCAACATGTTGATTAGTAGTTTATTCAACAGTTATCTCACAATTGATTAGATAATTGAATAAAAATGGTATACTATAATTGTATGAAAATTAAATTTATTCTTATTAAATAAATTTAATTAATAAATAAATGAATAAATAAAATGAATATGAATGAATGAATCGGTTGCTTTATAAATTATAGTAAATATAAATTATTTATCATCATAATCAGACACATTATCAAGATCATTCATAATGTCATTTATTAAACAAATAAATAGCACAAGTTATGTAAATTAAGCACAAGGTTAAAGCACAAACCATCACCAAATGAACGTAACTCAATGATTATTATATGGGAAAACGAACTTAAGTACCAAAACTTCAAGAATTAAATCAACTCAAAATTTATTAGACAATGGGTTAATACAATAATTATAAACATACTCAATCACTATTGAATGTATTTAACATAGTCTACATAAATAATTGTTAAACACAAAATAAAAAAATGAGGGGTGAAGTGTCTCAATCAAATTTCTTAAAATGAGGGGTGAACTGTCTGAGGGGTGAAGTGTTTGGAAAAAAGGGCCTAGGGTGAAGTGTCTGGGGGGGTGAAGTGTCTGTAAGCCCTCTAAACGTGCCATTAAGATGCATAGAGCATTACGTAATACGGTAAAAATGTCATCTATACGAAATTCACCACCATTATAGTCAACATATACATCATTTAGTAATTGATCTAAACAGAAGAGATAGCACTCTCACTTGCACAAGATGCACAGATATTATATCAGGTCTTGAAGAATTTTTTATAATGTCACTCGCCCTTTATTTTGACCCAATAAATTTCCTTGCCCTTCACAAAATATACTTTCCCTGCATTTTGACGGACAAAAAGAGTTAAAATCAGATATACATGACTCAAATTTACTATTTATCAGTCTATATCAGTATAACTGGCTTAATTCAATTACATATTGTTAATAATACTTTTTATTCTTTTAATATATACTCACATGTAGCCTGTATACTTATTTCATTCAATTTTTAATGCACTCAGCTACGGAATGAGTCTTTTGGCTAAGTATAAAAGTTAAAACTTTACCGAACGCATATACATGTATAAAAGTTTTAAATTCTTTGTCAAATGCTGCTGTCATTACAGAAGAAGGAGGTGTAATCCAGTCATCATACGTGTTTCGGTAAAGTTTTATACTTCGCCATGAGAGCAATTTCCGGGTTTTGTTTGACTGGTATTACGGTTGAAAAGGCATCTGCAGCTTGATTGTTTACCAAATATCTTCATTTATATAAATGTTTAGAGAAATATCTTTTGGATTGGGAAAATCGTCCTTGCCTAGTCTGCCGAGTTTGATCTACTTTTTTCTAGCCCTACCCAAACTTTTAAGGGAGTCAAGCATATCCTTGACACTAGAGGTCTGACCATAATCTAGCTACTCTCCTTTGGACATTTTCAAATTGATCTATTTGAATTTTGGTGTAAGGAGACCATACTTCAAAGATCAAAACCATATTCAGGCCTTGATGTCTTAAGATGCAAGGTTATAAATCTCTTTTTAGCTCACCAGAGCCGAAGGCACAGTGTGTGCTATTAGTATCAAAGGGGGATGCTCCGGTGTCCATCGTCCGTCGTCATGCAGTGTTCGAAATTAGCAGTAGTCCGATAGCCCCTGACTACTAAATTTCTCCTCGGGCTACCAACTTTTCACAGTAACAAGCCCGACCAGGCTACTGTATTTTCAGAGGCAATATAAACAACTATTTTGAACCAATGAATCATTCTAGTGAAATGTCTTTTGGGCTAGTGAATATTCCAATCTGGTAGTCCGACCAGCCTAGTCGATTCAAATCCAAATTTCTTACACTGGTCATGCGTCAACAATCGTCTTCTTCTCTGAAACTACGAAGCCGATTTACTTTAAATTCTGTCTGTACCATCCTTGTGACAGTCACACTTAAATTTGCTCATATCTGATATGATAATGATAATCATTACAATTGGCCTCTTTTAGGGGTCAGCAGAGCTAAAAATAGAAAAGCCTTTAAACATCTTCTTTTACAGAACTAATGGATGGATGATCACCAAACTTTGTCTGTACATAGCATTCTTGGGTAGTCTTTTATCAAGTTTGCTCATATTAATTTGATTAGCCCCTTTTAGGGGTCCGCAGAGCTAAAAATAGAAAAACCTTTAAACATCTTCTTCTACAGAACTAATGGATGGATGATCACCAAACTTTGTCTGTAGCATTCTTGGGTAGTCTTTTATCAACTTTGCTCATATTATTTGATTGGCCCCTTTTAGGGGTCTCTAGGGCTAAAAATAGAAAAACCTGTAAACATCTTCATCTACTGAACCAATGGATGGATGATCACCAAACTTTGTCTGTAGCATTCTTGGGAAGTCTTTTATCAAGTTTGCTCATATTAATTTGATTGGCCCCTTTTAGGGGCCGCTAAAGCTAAAAATAGAAAAACCTTTAAACATCTTCTCCTACAGAACTAATTGATGGATGATCACCAAACTTTGTCTGTAGCATTCTAGGGAAGTGTTTGCTCATATTCATTTTAATTTGGCCACTTTTAGGGGCCGCAAAAGCTAAAAATAGAAAAACCTTTAAATGTCTATTTCTAGAGAACTAATTGATGGATGATCACCAAACTTTGTGTCATCTTATGAAGTCTTTTATCAAGTTTGCTAATATTATTTTGATTGGCCCCTTTTAGGGGCCGCAAAAGCTAAAAATAGAAATACTTTTTAATGTCTATTTCTACACAACTAATCGATGGAAGATCACCAAACTTTGTCTGAAGCATTCTTGGGTAGTTTTTTTTATCAAGTTTGCTCATATTAATTTGATTAGCCCCTTTAACGGGTCTCTATAGCTAAAAATAAAAATACCTTTAAAAGTCTTTTTCTACAGAACAAATGGATGAATGATCACCAAACTTTGTCTGAAGCATTGTTGGGTAGTCTTTTATCAAGTTTGCTCATATTATTTTGATTGGCCCCTTTTAGGGGCCCCTTAAATTAAAAATAGATATACATTTAAAAGTCTATTGCTACAGAACTAATTGATGGATGATTACCAAACTTTGTCTGTAGCATTATTGGGTAGTCTTTTATTAATTTTGCTCATATTAATTTGATTAGCCCCTTTTAGGGGCGGCCAAAATTAAAAATAGAAATATGTTTAAACATCTTCTCCTTCAGAACTAATTAATGGATGATCACCAAACTTTGTATGTAGCATTCTTGGGTACTCTTTTATCAAGTTTGCTAATATTAATTTGATTGGCCCCTTTTAGGGGCCACTAAAGCTGAAAATAGAAAAAGCCTCCGAACATCATTTCCTACTGAAATAATTGATAGATGATCACCAAACTTAGAAGCATTCTTAGGTAGTCTTTTATCAAGTTTGCTCATATTAATTTGATTAGCCCTGTTTAAGCTAAAGCTTAAATGCCACAGGTCATGGCATTTCTTCAAATTATTGTTTAAACATATTCTATGCTCAAATTAAATAGAATATATTGACATTCCAACACTGATAAGCAGTTGTTTCTGGTGAGCGACTCAGGGCCATCATGGTCCTCTTGTCTATGAGATTCACCATGGTCTGGCTGCTATCCCCATTGGAGAATGTGATACACCATGACCAACACCATTGTTATAAATAGGTTTTTCACTAGAGCTTAAGACTTATAAATTCTCCTCCTTTCTAGGATTGAACACCATTGGTACCACCTACCCCCTGCAGGGAAGTCTAGGCTTGCCTAACAAAGTTGCCTCTTTAAATAAGGTCTTTATTATTATTATTATTATTATTATTATTATTATTATTACCCCAGAGAATTTTGGCAGTGCAGCCATAGCTGGCATTGAAAATTTCTCACTATAAATTTAAAGCTCCCTGATTTTATCATTTTTAGCTCGACTATTCGATAAGAATAAGTAGAGCTATTGCAGTCACCCGAGCGTCGGCGTCGGCGTCGGCGTAACCACTTATGCTAAAGTTTTTGTAATAGTTCAAATATTTTCAAAGTCCATTGACATATGGCTTTGAAACTTTGCACACTTGTTCCACCATCATGACCCCAACCTGTAGACAGGAGGAGGTAACTCTATCAAGCATTTTGACAGAATTATGCCCCTTTTTCGACTTAGAATTTACGTTAAAGATTTTTTGTAATAGTTCAAATATTTTCAAAGTCCATTGACATATGGCTTTGAAACTTTGCACACTTGTTCACCATCATGACCCCAACCTGTAGACAGGAGGAGGTAACTCTATCAAGCATTTTGACAGAATTATGCCCCTTTTTCGACTTAGAATTTACGTTAAAGTTTTTGTAATAGTTCAAATATTTTCAAAGTCCATTGACATTATGGCTTTGAAACTTTGCACACTTGTTCACCATCATGACCCCAACCTGTAAACAGGAGGAGGTAACTGTATCAAGCATTTTTTTTACTATCAAGCACCAAGAATAGTCGAGCGTTGCTGTCCTACCGACAGCTCTTGTTAATATTCTTTAATATCCTCTTTTAAATATATTTTTTTTAACTTTCTTACAATTTTGATTCTAAGACAACTCTAAGTCCCTGCGAGGGGCTTGACATTATTGGAAGATAGATGTGTTGTAGGTCAGAATCTCAGATTAACATTTTATAAAAAAAAGTTAAAAATTGGAAAATGTAAACAAAGTGGTATTTTGACTTTCCAGCAAAATATTTAAATATAATACATTCTTGCATGTCATTCCCGTGTGCCTTTTATGAATAAATTTCAATCATAGGATGATGTTATGTTTCCGTTATGAATGAAGACTTTGTAAATTCATACGCTACTATAATAAAAAGTGCTACATGAAAGTATTGGTTTTTAGCTCAACTATTCGATAAGAATAAGTAGAGCTATTGCAGTCACCCGAGCGTCGGCGTCGGCGTAACCACTTATGTTAAAGTTTTTGTAATAGTTCAAATATTTTCAAAGTCCATTGACATATGGCTTTGAAACTTTGCACACTTGTTCACCATCATGACCCCAACCTGTAGACAGGAGGAGGTAACTCTATCAAGCATTTTGACAGAATAATGCCCCTTTTTCGACTTAGAATTTACGTTAAAGTTTTTGTAATAGTTCAAATATTTTCAAAGTCCATTGACATATGGCTTTGAAACTTTGCACACTTGTTCACCATCATGACCCCAACCTGTAGACAGGAGGAGGTAACTCTATCAAGCATTTTGACAGAATTATGCCCCTTTTTTCGACTTAGAATTTACGTTAAAGTTTTTGTAATAGTTCAAATATTTCAAAGTCCATTGACATATGGCTTTGAAACTTTGCACACTTGTTCACCATCATGACCCCAACCTGTAGACAGGAGGAGGTAACTCTATCAAGCATTTTGACAGAATTATGCCCCTTTTTCGACTTAGAATTTACGTTAAAGTTTTTGTAATAGTTCAAATATTTTCAAAGTCCATTGACATATGGCTTTGAAACTTTGCACACTTGTTCACCATCATGACCCCAACCTGTAGACAGGAGGAGGTAACTCTATCAAGCATTTTGACAGAATAATGCCCCTTTTTCGACTTAGAATTTATGTTAAAGTTTTTGTAATAGTTCAAATATTTTCAAAGTCCATTGACATATGGCTTTGAAACTTTGCACACTTGTTCACCATCATGACCCCAACCTGTAGACAGGAGGAGGTAACTCTATTAAGCATTTTGACAGAATTATGCCCCTTTTTCGACTTAGAATTTACGTTAAAGTTTTTGTAATAGTTCAAATATTTTCAAAGTCCATTGACATATGGCTTTGAAACTTTGCACACTTGTTCACCATCATGACCCCAACCTGTAAACAGGAGGAGGTAACTGTATCAGGCATTTTTTTTACTATCAAGCACGAAGAATAGTCGAGTGTTGCTGTCCTACCGACAGCTCTTGTTTTATGCCCCCGCCATATAATGGCTGGGGCATATCCGTCATTCTGTCATTCCGTCATCATCAGTTTCCATTCATTATCTCCCCAACGGTAATACACTTGACAAATGGATATGTCATGAGAAAATTCAGGTCAAGTTTGAATTTGGTCATGGTTCGATAATTTTTGGCAGAGATATGCCCCTTTTACTTTGAAAATAATATGAAATTTTCAGTTTCCGTTCATTATCTCTCCAACTGTATTACACATTCAACTCAGACTTGACAAATGGATATGTCATGAGAAAATACAGGTCAAGTTCGAATTTGGTCATGGTTCGATGATTTTTGGCAGAGTTATGCCCCTTTTACTTTGAAAATAATATGAAATTTTCAGTTTCAGTTCATTATCTCCCCAACGGTATAACACATTCAATTCAAACTTGACATATGGATATGTCAAAGGAATGCGCAGATCAAGTTGGAATTTGGTCATGGGCAGAGTTATGTCCCTTTTACTTTAAAAATAATATGAAATTTTCAGTTTTCGTTCATTATTTCCCCAACATTATTACACATTCAACTCAAACTTGACATATGGATATGTCAAAGGAATGCACAGGTGAAGTTCGAATTTGGTCATGGTTTGATGATTTTTGGCAGAGTAATGCCCCTTTCACTTTAAAAACAATATGAAATTTTCAGTTTTCGTTCATTATTTCCCCAACATTATTACACATTCAACTCAAACTTGACATATGGATATGTCAAAGGAATGCACAGGTGAAGTTCGAATTTGGTCATGGTTTGATGATTTTTGGCAGAGTTATGCCCCTTTCACTTTAAAAACAATATGAAATTTTCAGTTTCCGTTCATTATCTCCCCAACAGTATTACACATTCAACTCAAATTTTACATATGGATACGTTAAAAGAATGTGCAGGCCAAGTTTGAATTGGGTCATGGTTCAATGATTTTTGGCAGAGTTATGCCACTTTCACTTTGAAAAAAGGAAATCTTCAGTTTACATTCATTATCTCCCTAACGGTGTTACACATTCAACAACAAATTAAAGATATGGATATGTCATAAGAATGCATTGGTCAAGTTCGAATTTGGTCATGGTTTGATGATAGCTGACAGAGTTATCCCTCTTGAACTTTGAAAAAAAATCAGAAATTTTAAGTTTCCGTTCATTATCTCCCCAATGGTTGTACACATTCAACTCAAATTTGACGTATAAATACATCTAGGGCATATTAAGCAGTTCAAGTTTGAATTTGGTTGTGGTTTAATGATTTTGGACAAAGTTACCTTTCTTGAATGTTGGAAAAATTTTGAATTTTCAGCACTCATACTTTTGTGGAAATGTACTGTACCTATTATTTTGGCTACAAATTTAATATGCAATAGGAAAATTTACAAAAGACTAACACCGAATAGTTTTAGACCCTTGAACTTTGTATAAAAATGGTTTGTGTTAACATTGAATAGTTTTAAGGGCTCTGAACTTAAAATGAAAAAAATAATTTGTGCAAACAAATTTGGAACTAAACATCGGAAATTTTGGCTGCATGCGGGGGCATCCGTGGCATGATGACACATTTCTATTTGTAATTTCTTTCCAGAATATGATTAATAATTGATGTGAAAGAAAAAGAATCAAACACAGGTGGGAATATATAGCTCTCGGGTAACTGTTAAGCCAAATAATGTTTAGGTTGGCCTATAGCTTGAGGCTATAGTATAAGTAACTTACAGGACTACAAAAATAAAAAGCTTTTGAGAAATAAAAGTAAAAGAAAAAGCATTTCTGGGTTATTTGGGGCCTTTAATTTGCTCAATACAGTTCAACTTGTACAACATGTTTTATTTTATCTTTACATGTCCTCAACAGCAAAAGTTAAATATTGTTCAAGTAAAAAGAATTCTTTCTTTGCTGAGATATTGTTATCATGTTAAAATTTTAAATGTCAATTTCAGACCTTCAAGTATTGGTGAATAAACGCAAGTGAAGTCACTAAAAGGACAGAATGCCGTTTTTCAAAAAGTTCTTAGGAAGTTCAGATGATGTAACTGGTAAAGGGAGGGGAGCTGTAACTCCACCAGGACTTCAAACAATGGGAGCAAATTTACAGCGCAAGTTTGCTAAAGGGGTACAGTATAACAGTAAGTATCAGATTTTGTTGTTGTATTGTAATTATAATAGTAATAATAATAATAAAAGTTTATTCTTGTAACATATAGGACTCAGACCCAAAATACTACATGATACAACAAAAATGAAAATGCAACAAAAATACAATGACTGAGGTGATCATAAGTATGCATTGTTGTGTTGATTGTTCTTTTTGCAAAAAAAGATATCAGCTTTTTATAGGAATGAACCTAAAGATGTTTAAACATTGCAATTTTGGTACTTAAAGATAGCTATACTGTAAAGTAAAGTCTGTAATATACTTATTATCTTTATAGGCTAGCTATGTATAGTGATTTAGGTAACAGATAATGTTCTAATCATATTTATGCAGTCTACTATATTAATCATTAATCAATCATCAGAGATATCTAGTTAGTTACATTTATTTATTGGAAAGAATTAGCATAATTGTCTTTTTTTTTGGAATTGAAACATTCTTATAATCATAGATGATGGAATATAATGTTTATTCAAACTTTGACCAACATTTCCTTCTCAATCAACATATTCAAATTGTTTAAAGTGATTTCCTGTAGAAAATCGTTAAAATGTGTTTTTAAAAATGCCATCTATAGTATATGATAAAGTGACTTTAAAGAATCTGCTACCCAAATATCTTAAGCAGTGAACTATTTTGGAGCTCATTAATAGCCTAATTCAGTCAAACTAAATTTGGTTAACAAAATAATAAAAACAAGTAGTATACAAGTTAAAGTATTATACACTGTACAATTAAAATTATCTGTGCAAATGAATAAGTCTCTTAATAAATTTTGCATGAGACTATAATAATTTTATACTATCATGTACAAGTAATGCATGTTTCGTTTATATGAAAGTTTAATTCATTACAGTGAAAGTGGTAATTAGGGGAGACAGAAATGTAGGAAAGACTTGTTTGTTTCATAGACTCCAAGGTCAGAAATTTACAGAAGAATATATACCTACAGATGAAATACAGGTGATTACAGGGTTTTAAAAGTTTGCAACCCACAATCAAAATTTAGTAAACCATTTGCCTGTTGAAATTGTAAGGCTTTTAATTTTAACACATAGAGTATATTGAATGAGTGTTGATGCAATACTGAATTTATTGAACAAGTTTTGAATAAAATTTTATTATGAGAGCCTCTCTGAGTAGCATAATTAGCTAATATTATTTTATTCAACAAGTTCATAAATTTAGTACTGAACCTACACTCATTCAATATCCTCTGTGTATATATAAAAATAGAATATAATATTCTATTTATCACATATCCAAAATAAGAACTGTTGACAGTAAAAATAAATCACTTTTTCATTGACTAGTTTATAGTATAGCCAAACATTTAGCGCATCTATACTGCATACTTGTACAACACAAATGAGGTCACGTCGAAATATATGCATGACCCTGCAATACCATTTTTTACGGAGTCCTAAAAGTAGCATGGGCATGTGATGAATTTTATTAGTAGTCTAAAGCATATCAGTATTAATATTGTACGATTATTGCAGCTTATATCCATGCTATTTTACCTTTATCAGAAAAGTCACAGGGACCATGGAAAGGGGAAAATTGTGTAGTAGAAAATAGGGTGGAAAATTAGAAACAGAGAAAATAGTTCATTTTATTAATGTTAAATTGTGATACAACACCATAATTGTTACAAATTAAAAAAGATATGTACCTCTCCTTTGGTAAAATGTTTTATTTTGTTTTTTCAAATTTTAAAAAGAAAAATTTTACTTGTGAAGGGATTATTTTTCTCAGACAAAATTGAAAAATATACACTCTTTGAAAAGGGGAATGTAGTTCAATGCACCGAATATTGATATAGTTTAGTTTCATTGTTCCCTTTGTATATTTTCAGGTTGCTAGCATACAGTGGAACTACAAAGCAACAGATGATGTTGTGAAGGTAGAAGTGTGGGATGTTGTTGATAAAGGAAGGAAGAAAAAGAAGAAAGAAGGGTTAAAATTGGCAACAGACGAGGTTTTTAAAAAATTTTTCCTGTTTTTGTTTTATTTACAAAATTCTTTACCATGTATATAAGATTTTGTAATGTGCAATGCAAATGACTTTTAATCGATGATGTGAATAATTAAATGGAGGAACGTTGTTAATTTTCATATTGGATTACTTAATTTTTAGCTTCATCCTTTACAAGTGTTCCAACTGCAAACAGCTTGTATTAATTAAACAAACATCTTTTCCCCCCTCTTTTTCACTTCAACAAAATTAATATCTTTATGGAAATATTGCCTTGATCATACTTGATATGGAAAGGCATGTAACATAACATGCCAAATTTATGTAAGAAAATATTCCAGCCAATCAGTAGTCATGTACTCTGCACATACCCAAATTAAATCATTTGAAATTAGAGGTGTAACGATTCATCGATGCATCAATACATCGCGATCTGCCCTGTCCTCGATGTATGCATCGTAATGAATTTATAAATTCCAATATATCAGGATGCAATACATATTTCACCACCTGATGCATCGATATAGCGGGAAAGTATAGCAATACACTAATAGTTACGGTATAATGAAAAATCCTTAAGTAAAAAGTAAAAATCCTTAAGTAATAATTAAGTAATGTAAATTGTTGAAAGATCAAAACTTGAAAATAAGTTATAACAACAAGTCAAAGAGTTTATTGTTTTGTTATTGTAATAGTTTTATATTTCATTCCTAATTATACTGTGAACAAATTACCAAGTTTTTTATATAGATAAAGTCTGAAAGCAGTATTGTTCATATTGCATCGAACATAGAATCGCAATATGATCGCATTTTTATAAAAGTGGGGGCAATAAATGTGAATCGCATCGTTGAAATTTGCGAACGTAAATATGTTCGGAAAAAAAAAATGAAAATGCAACCCCTATTTAAACCCAAAAATTTTGCTTTTTTCCAAAAAGGGTTCCCGGTTTTCAATTTGGGGGTTTTTGGGGTATCTTTTTTCCGTGAAAAATACTAGAAATCCCAAATTTAGAGCTGTGTCAGTTTGAAAAAAAAATGTTTGTAATTTCACGTATTATGTTTTTAGCTTCAACCATTACAAGTTGCACAGCTTGTATTCATTTAACAAAATCATCTTTTTCTTTAATTTTTGTACATGTCAAAATTGTTTTAATTACTGGAAATATTTCCGCGATCATAATTTCAGGATGATCAGAATGACGCAGAGCCGTGTCTGGATGCTGACTTTGTAGATGTATATAAGGGAACAAATGGGGCCGTCCTCATGTATGATATAACCAAACAGTGGTAAGGGAACTGTTACTGGCACTTGTTTAGTTTTCCTTATTGCTTTATCACTAGATCTGTGCATTGTGTTATAATTTACACTAGTAGTCTGATAGATAAATCTTGTAAATGAATGACTAGATATTTAAACATGGGTTTATATTTCCTGGTCATGGCACCAATATCGGTAAGTGTAATATACTATAGAAAACAATGCTCAACATGTTGTGTCTGGTTGATACACTTGTTCAAAACTACAAATGTTTCATACTACAAAACATAGGAAGTGATGTTCTCTAACATCATGCATACTTTGGCATCATTTAAGGGCACATGCATATGAGCGTATTCCTAACAAAAACTTAATTTATAGACCATTTTATCAACATGCATTATGCTGTATATAGTTAATTAACGAGAAGCTTGTTCATGCTCGAAAGTTGCTTTAAGAGATTGAGTTTGTCAATATTAACTAATATCTTGTAAACTCCTTAATTTTAATAAAATTTAGAAGAAAAAAAAATGATTGTTTTACTTAGGTACTCCATCATTTGTAGAGTAAGAATTCAGCTTTGTTTTGAATGTCAAGTTTATAAATACAGATGATAAATTTTATTTAACCCGACATATCTCCAATATGACTTATTATATTTTTAAGGCAGTAAGAGACTTACTCAGTAAATTTTACATTACAGGACATATGATTATGTTGAGAAAGAGATGGAGAGAATTCCTCCCAGTATTCCAGTGTTGATACTTGGTAACCATAGAGATATGGGACATCATAGAACAGTCCTGGAGGATAAAGCTAGATACTTTGTTGAAAGTCTGAATAGGTAACTTGAATATTTTATTGTCATTATCTATCAGTTTTTCCCCATGCTAATGAATTTTTTTTAGGCTGGATGTGTCAAATGGTTACTGTATTTTTGTGAAAGATTCATTTCAATTCAGATAAGACATTTATGTAGGTAACAAAAAATCACAGGAATAGTGTGAAATAAAATATTTTTGTAACAAATTTATTTTATAGATGCTGGTAGTCATAATGAACGGCCAGTAAAAAGTAATTTCTGTCAATGCATCTAGAAAATCACTTAGTTTATATATCTATTACTTAAGGTACATGTACTTAACAGGACTTTTGTTATTGAATTCTTTGAATTTAAAAATAGGCAGTTTCAAATTTAAAGTTGTACATTATTAATGTAATTAACCTCTTGAGATTTTGTACAGTAAGGACTCCACTAAGTCTTTTGTCATGACAGGACTGGAAATACTTTTTTGAGATTTGCTGTAGGCCTGGATCAATAAGTTGTTTGCAAAATTTCAGATCATTTGCTCATTCCGTTTTTGCAGAATAATCATTTTAATTGTGCAAAATGCCTTTTAAAAAATCAAAGCATTTTAAACTATTAACTCAATTGTAGCAAAGAGTCACACTAACTGAAGTTTCTGTATTTAGGTATAATCTTTTGCATATTAATTTCTTTTTTCATTTTAAATGCCCCAGTTGATCTATGTAATAAGTAAAAATTTTTATATATTTTATCTCTCGGACCTCTTTGGAGCTCCTTTTATAGTTACTGTAATGAATTTGTTATCTTTGATTTATTGAGTTATCTTATTAATATCAACATTTCAATAATTACAGACCAAAGGGATCTGGCCAGATACGCTATGCTGAGGCTTCAATGAGAAATGGATTTGGTCTCAAATATATTCATAAATTCTTTAATCTGCCATTTCTTCAACTTCAAGTAAGTTTACTTTCTTTTCATAGTACAATAACAATTGTTGATTAGATGCATACTGGATATGTTTATTTATTCTTGCATATATTTTTGTAGAATACATGTAAATGTATGTTAAGTAGTTTTTCCATGAAAGGATATTGGGATACAGTCAAACCCGATAGGGCCATCTAAGGGAGAGACTGAACATGTCCTTTATAGACATGTGGTCTTTATTTGGAGGTTTACTTTATTTTTATAATCAATGAAGGGTTATCTCAGAGTGGCTTTTTAGCACATACACAAGGTGATTATTATTCAGAGGTGGTCTTAAATACAGGTTTGCTATATGCCTTACTAACACTTTAAAGTAAGATAAATAAAAAGAAAATCTCATCAGAGGTCTTACTTTATGAAACAATGCAATCCAGGCAGAGTGGTTTACTTTCCTGACTTGTAATCACTTGTTCAAAATCCTTTAACATTTCTCCTAGTGTCGACAACTGAATATGCCCATGGAACCAGTAGATAATCTGGTACATTCAGGTGCCCTCTGATAATGGTCTGCACTGTTTTTTATTCAGTCAGTAAATATTTTGAAATTTGTCATAAAAAAGATGAATAGTTTTGTCCAGATTGAAAAATGGACATGTCAATTTACGATATTGAGCATGATGAAGGTTATTCAAATACAACCATACTGTTAGTGTTAATGTGATATGAATTCTATATATGATAGGACATATATGTTGATATAACTGTTTACAGAGAGAAACATTGTTAAAACAGTTGGAGATTAACTCTGAAGATATACGATGTACCGAAGAAGAGCTGGATATACACGAGGAATCTGAGGAACAAAATTATGATGTGTATGTTTGTAGGATAATAACACTTTTGAAAGTTTTGAAAATGTTTTAAAATTTGAAATATTAAATTATATAAGTTTTTAATAAATTTTTAATTAATAATTTTAACCATCGTCAGATACCCATGGCTGAACCATTAAAATTTATCAGCCTTGGGATTTTTCACAGATATCCAGTCGATAAGAGGTGTGTCAAAAACAGCTTTTTCATTAGTTGCCTCAGGATTTCATGAGGTGATTAAAACCAATCAAAACGCTCGTTCTATACAGTTTGGTGAAACGTTAATTCTAGAAAAAAAATTACTAATGTGCTCTCTGCTCGTGGAATAATTTAGTTTGGGAATAGTTTTGCCTTTCATATTTGCAAGACAAGTTAAACAGGTTTACACCGTGGGCGCTGCTATTTTATTTCTGATAGTTGTTTACCATTGCTGTCGAAGAACATAAATTTTGCTAAACACAATTTCATTGATAGATAATTTATTTAAGCACATGTTGCTGAATATTGCTGAATATCAACGAAATTTGATTCATTTTACCCACAGTTGATTACATGTTATGTTACATGTTAATCAACCATGGGTATCAGACGATGAATTTTAACTTCAAAGAATGTTAGTTGTGATATTCTCAACCAAAATAAAAGAGCCTTTAAAGAGTTTTCAATGACATAGAATTAATGTATGGAATATACATATAGAAAAAGTATTGAAATATATTTGTATACATTACAGGTTTATTGATCAACTGGCAAAGAAGAGACGTGACCAACAAGACTCTAAGGGTGTTCAGGGAATAATGACTGCCCCACCACCACATTCACTACCAGTTAAACCTAGTACCTTGTCTAATGGTTAGTTATGTTCTGCGTTCTTTTATTACAATGTAGATGTTTTCACTTATTGTCCTTAGTTTATACAAATTTATTTAAGTTTTATCATATTAAAAGCTATTAACTTCTAGAAACACTCTCAAATCTTTTCCTGCAACCAACCAGTACTAAGCAATGAATGTAAAGTTTCGTAATGGCTTGTCCCTGACAGGGTTGGAACCTATGTTGACAGCAATCCTTAGACTAATATTCTGACACCTTTACCACTCGGCCATGCCGCCACTTATTGTCCTTATATTTTATCATGTCATTAATTTCTCAGCCCTTATAAAAAAATTTACAGAGAAAACAATTTGATTCATCCCTGAATATGACTTTTTTCCCCACTATCTTCTATAGTTTCATCATTTTGCAGTACATTTTACTTTTTTATCAGCTTTGTCTAGAATTGACACAAAATGTATTTACATTTAAAAATAAAGTACATAAATTAGTTAGTTTTATCCTGGATACAGAAAAATTTAACCTACTGTTAACATAAGCTTGTAGTAAAAAATATTCTTTGGCTATACAATAGTGATTTGAAGTAACAAAAGTAAACCCTGTTGTAAAATTTTTATTTCATGTTTATCAATGCTTTATTTGGCACAGTTCCACGCTCAGTATCAGCTCCTGCCATTCAGAAGTCAGCTGTCACTCCAGATGCCAATCACAGTGTAACCACTCCTACTTCTTCATTGGCCACACCTTCTCCTGTGTCAAATACACCAATCACAGAAGTTCCAGAACCTGAGCCTCAATCTCAAGAACAGAATAAGCCAACACAACAAAAAGAAACTGTCAAACCTGTAGAGCAGAAGTCAGGGTTTTTCTCCAGATTGTTTGGTAAACAAAACACACAAGCACAAGGGCCGTCTGCTGAAGTAAAACCAGAGGCTGTTGAAGAGCCAACTACACCTGTGAAGAGTGTTGAAGATTTTGTCCCAGATACTGGAGAGCTTGATGATAGTTTCCTTGATGATACCAAAGAGGTGAAGGACGTTTCTAGGGGCAGTAGTAAAGAGCCAAATAGTGATAGGTTAGTATCGCTTTTAACTTAATTTACAAATGTTTTTTTACTGTTTTTGGTAAATTTGTGTCCAAAAGAAGCATGACATTACAGATAATAAAGTAAATAAATATTGTTTAATTAGGAGGCTATCAGCTGATTTGTAGGTACATGTACATGTAATAGACAAAACCTTGGTTTTCATTGCTTTTGACATTTGATTACTCAACAGTTTGTTGCTGCTTGCTGTTAGGTAAACTTTATCTGAACTTATTGTATTTTAGTGCATTAGATCAAAGTTATGAATTGCACTGAAATAAACGTTAATTTCCAGATTGCAACTCTATTAATAATAGCCAATTTTTAAGCAAAGTTTAAATAGAAAAACTAAAGTTTATCTCAAAGTGTGTCAGTGTTTTTTTGATATTTCTCTTTGAATGTTCATTAGAAAAAATGTTCCTGAATAACTTTACCCAAAACCATTTACCAAGTACTCAAATATTGATTTTATTTTTCATATTTTATTTTACTCTAGTGAGGATGAAGATGGTGGTAATCCAATGGTAGGCTGGTTTCCAGGATAGATCCTTGATTCTTGAAGATGAAATAGAAGCCAGTAAATCCTCCCAACAGGGAACCAGTCGGCCTAAAATTACACAAGACATAGATTTATCAAGTGACGATGAAGACACTACGCATTCCAATACACAAACTGTGAAATATGATGAAGATTATTTGTCGTCTGATGACAATAAGAAAACTGTAAAAGCTGCTTACAACAATGCAAAAACTAAAAAAAGTGTTAGTGATGAAAATAGTGCCAAAAAAAATAGTTCCGATATGCATGACTTGGAAAAGAAACCGAAATCAAACTCTGTGTCATCCGGAAGTGATAAAGAAGCGGTTGTGAAATCTGGGTCACATCTAGGCATTGATTCTATAAATAGCACAAAGACACATAGTAGAACAGGATCTTTGTCATCTAATGCTACAAGTGACACAGAAAAAAATATATCTAATAATATCAGCAATAGTTTAAATAAACAGACAGGTAATTCTCATTCTAGGAAAATCTCGTCTGATTCAAGTAGATCCGATCATGTGACAAATTCCACCAATCATAAGACAGAAGAGAAATCGTCCAATCAAGATTCCGATTCCGAGTCCGATGACCAAATAACCGTGCTTCAGGATGCGGACATTAATCCCGAAGATTTTGGTGGTGCCGATGTGTTTAATGATTGGCTGAACAAACAAGAGGTAAAAACTTTTTTCCTATAGGCCAAGTTGATTCTCTCTCATTCTTGAATTAGAACATTTGGGAATTAAAGGTAATACGGTAGTCTAAATTCTCTCAATGAATAATTGAGGTGTCCTGAATAAAAATGATACAAAATGAATTCTTCTGTATAATATTTTTTCATGTTTGGTACTCTAAGTATTGACTGGGAACTTGTACTTTATGTCTGAGCTCATCATTAATATTTATACATAAGAGTCATTGGCTGATTTATCTTCAGCCATGTTGACTTTGCCAGACAATAAAAAAAAGGGGAAGTACATTACATTTTGCAAGGTTGCAGTGCTGAAAATAGTCCTAAGTATGTGATCAATGTAAGAAAAAATATAAAAGAAATTGAAAACGTCGTGGTGTGAGGGTTTTAGACCACAATATGCACCAGTTGCTATTGTACTGTGACAGAATGATATATTGTTGCATGTCTAATAATCAAATATAAATGTAGAGGTTTTTTCCTTTGTTTTCATTTTCTAGTACATGTATATCAAATGACACATTTCATTTTTATTCAGAAATTGAAATAAAAAAAATTACTTATTATAAGGGCTTAAAATTTATATATCACAAAATTTAACTTTGAACAATTACATTAATGATAGTGATTAAACACAAGTAGTAATTATTTAATTTATTTATGGTTATTTCAGACAGTTAAGAAAGAAAAACCTTCCATTGTAGCAGATGCTGGGGATAGTCAGGAGAAAAAGAAAACAAAAAGTATATTAATACTCTCTTTATCTTTGTACTTAGCTGTGTTAAAGCAGTCTGCAGTTTTTATTTTTGTTGGAAAAAAATTTCTGTGTTGTTTCAAACTAAGTATTTCTGTAATGTTATCTTGGAAAAGTGCATCATATCACTGTTAATATGTAATTTTATCTTGGAAAAGTGAATCATATCACTGTTAATATGTAATTTTATCTTGGAAAAGTGAATCATATCACTGTTAATATGTAATTTTATCTTGCAAAAGTGCATCATATCACTGTTAATATGTAATTTTATCTTGGAAAAGTGCATCATATCACTGTTAATATGTAATTTTATCTTGGAAAAGTGCATCATATCACTGTTAATATGTAATTTTATCTTGGAAAAGTGAATCATATCACTGTTAATATGTAATTTTATCTTGGAAAAGTGAATCATATCACTGTTAATATGTAATTTTATCTTGGAAAAGTGAATCATATCACTGTTAATATGTAATTTTATCTTGGAAAAGTGAATCATATCACTGTTAATATGTAATTTTATCTTGGAAAAGTGCATCATATCACTGTTAATATGTAATTTTATCTTGGAAAAGTGCATCATATCACTGTTAATATGTAATTTTATCTTGGAAAAGTGAATCATATCACTGTTAATATGTAATTTTATCTTGGAAAAGTGAATCATATCACTGTTAATATGTAATTTTATCTTGGAAAAGTGAATCATATCACTGTTAATATCAAAGCTTCCCGAGAGCTATTAATAAAGTGACAGCGATGTTTCTTAAAATAGAAGATCTGGGAAATAAATAGTCCACTTTTCTTATTTACATCTATTGAGCAGAAAGGTAGGTTAGATGTATCAAGAAATTTTATTTTCCACCTTAATTCTTTTGATTTGACGATTATATGAAAAGATTTATCTAAACATATTTAATTATTAACATATGTTTAAAAAGTTAGGATATTTAACCTTAAGAAAAACTGAAGACTGCTTTAATCTTAGTCACAGTAAAATATGGAAAAAGATGAAATAAATTTCATCAACTTTTTGTTAACAGGCTTCACACTGTATATCTTAGGCTTTGTTAAATACTAATTTTGATTGAAAACCATTTTGTAAAGAATCCATATTATGCAAAATAAGTTATAATTGCATATTACTTTTTGAAGTCTGTATATGAGATAATGTTTTAAAAACTTTTATGACAGAAGTCTGTATATGAGGAAGGTGTTGTGTAAATACCACCATTGTTATTGTCATAAAATCTTTCAATTAATTTAGCTGTCAGGCTAACAAGACCTATACTATGTTTGTGTGACATAAAATCACACCAGTTTGAGCCTCAGATAAAACATTCTGCTGATGTCCTTGTTTGTGCTTGAAATAATGCACGTAGAGGCACCAGAACCAGAAGTCTTCCTCGACCAGTAATGCTAGAAAGGTGCCATATAACCTTTACTATGTCGAAGCTAAAATCCAATGAAAATAAAACACACACAAACAAAAGAATAAAAGTGACATGTGAGGAATTTCTATACAAGTTGAAAGTTACCACATCATCAACTTAGTGCAGTAACCGGTTAACTTCTATTGAATTATATAAGGGGTTTACCTGTTAATGCACTAAGGTGATGAATGACATGTATGTGGTAATAAAGTGAGGATTATGGGGTCATTTGCCAGTAATTCAGTTAAAAAAGCTTTTCTTTAACTTTAACAATTAATAATGCAACCATTTTTTTACCCTAGAAATATCAAATCATCATAGTAAGAAAAGAATATTTTCGGTATTTCAGAAAAGAGTCAGAAACATGTTGAAAGTAGTGATGGTGGAGTAGAGAAAGAGACAAAGAAGAAGAAAAAGAAGAAGAGAGACAAGGTAAAATGCAAGAAATCTATAAGTGCAAATTACTCTATTTCTGTCATAATTATCATGAAAAATTTGTTCCAAAATCACTAAATCCATGTTTTTTTTTTACTAAATCCATGGTTTTTTTTCTAAAAAAAGAGTGGGGCAGTCTTTTTTATGCCCCCACAATGTGGGAGCATATAGCGTTGCACTTGTCCGTTCGTCAGTCCGTCCGTCCCGGAATCTTGTGAACGCAACTCCTCTCAAACCAGATGGCAGATTTTGCTTTAACTTACAGGGATGAACAACCTGAATGTGTAGATGATAGTAAAGGAAGGAATTTTCGCTACGACCAAATTTAACAGAATTATGGCCCTTTGTTGATTTTTTCACTGGATACTATGTAGAAATTTTGTGAACGCAACTTCTCTTAAACCGGATGGCAGATTTTGCTTAAACTTACAGGGATGAACAGCCTGTGTAGATGTTAGTAAAGGAAGGAATTTTTGCTGCGACCAAATTTAACAGAATTATGGCCCTTTGTTGATTTTTTCACTATATACTATGTAGAAATTTTGTGAACGCAACTCCTCTTAAACCGGATGGCAGATTTTGCTTAAACTTACAGGGATGAACAACCTGAAGGTGTAGATGGTATTAAAGGAAGGAATTTTCGCTGCGACCAAATTTTACAGAATTATGACCCTTTGTTGATTTTTTCACTATATACTATGTAGAAATTTTGTGAATGCAACTTCTCTTAAACCGGATGGCAGATTTTGCTTAAACTTACAGGGATGAACAACCTTAATGTGTAGATGGCAGTAAAGGAAGGAATTTTTGCTGCAACCAAATTTAACAGAATTATGGCCCTTTGTTGATTTTTTCATTATATACTATGTAGAAATTTTGTGAACGCAACTCCTCTTAAACCGGATGGCAGATTTTGCTTAAACTTACAGGGATTAACAACCTTAATGTGTAGATGGGAGTAAAGGAAGGAATTTTTGCTGCGACCAAATTTTACAGAATTATGGCCCTTTGTTGATTTTTTCACTATATACTATGTAGAAATTTTGTGAACGCAACTCCTCTTAAAACGGATGGCAGATTTTGCTTAAACTTACAGGGATGAACAACCTTAAGTTGTAGATGGTAGTAAAGGAAGGAATTTTTGCTGCGACCAAATTTAACAGAATAATGGCCCTTTGTGGATTTTTAGTTTTCAACTTGCGGCACATGTAGTCCAAAAAATATTTGACCTAGAGTCATAAAATTGACGGAACAGTGGCGTGTGGGGGCATCCGTGTCCTATGGACACATTTCTAGTTTATTTATAATTTTCATATTGTATCATTAACATTTTCCAGACTCACTAAAAACGCACTTTTCCATGTGTAAAACTTTCATAGAAATGGTTATGTTAAAGATTTTCAGGATTTGGTTTTAAATTTCTATCATGCACCCATATAAAATCATAATGTTTCATTTATAAAGTGATGTTTTCTTTAATTTTCTGAGGTTTCAACAAAAATCTTGTCAATGTAATGTTTCCATCTTCATTGCAATACTATTGTTAAAATGTGAAAATAAATATTTTTTGTATTTTTTATTTTTTCTAAGCCATATATTTAATTGTTCAGTGTGTCCTACATATAAATTGATTATAGTTTTATTATGTATATGTAAACATACACAATTTGAGTTAAGTTTAGTTGAATAAGTAAAGTATTTCAAAAGATTGGCTTTTATAATGGTGACTGACCAATAATTGATAATGAAAAATGTTTATGGTACCATATGAAAATTACTTGAATTATAAAAAAGACTGCCCCACTCTTTTTAAGAATTGAATGTTATCAGTACATTCTAAGTGATATATATAGAGATTTCCGTCTTTCATGTGATTAGTGACAGCAAAAATATATGATTGAACACAATAATGGCAAAATGTTATTTTTACATGTTCATTTAGATAGACATACATGTAATGTCACTTTCAAGAAGTCTTTGCTTATATATACATGCGGGTAGTTTATGTCAACCCCACGCCTATAAAGGTATTGGCACAAACCACTTTAATCATTGCAAAAAAAAAGAATATATTTCTTTGCCATGACAAAGGTTTATATTGACTTTTAAGGATGAAGACAGGACCGAGAAAAAGACCAAGAAAAAGGAACGGTCAAAAAGTGAAAAAGAAAGTATCAAAGATTCTGATGCTCAGAAAAAGGACAAGAAAAAGAAGAAGAAAACACTAGAGGAGGAGGGTGAAGGAATGGA